GGTTTTGAGTATTATAAATAGCAAATGTTGAATATAGGAATTCTGGGGTCTGTTGTAGTATGGAGGTTCTCACGAGGACTTAGCATACAGTGGTTGTCTAGTAAGCAGTAGTTGTTCTTACTAAATTTAAACATTGTCATCATTAATGTCATCATCTAGACAAGCTCTATTCATTCATCGCTTGCTGGTTTTATGGCCTTGAACCAATTAATTCAACCCTGTACATCTCTGAGAGTGTAAATAATACCTCTTTTGTGCATCTCACAGAGATGTTTTGAAGATCAAATAAAATAATGTGCTGTGTGAAAACAAATAAAATATGATACGCTGTGTGAAAGCACTCTGTAATTGTGGAGAGCTATAGAATAGTTTATTGTAGCTACAACCCCATAATCATTTACCCAGAACATGAAGCCTCAGACATCTCTACCCTGTACTGAGCTGCCGGTATAGATTAGGCGATGCATAATGTTAGTAAAAGAGGGGAAGCCTGGTCATTGATACCCATTTAAGATCCCACAAATGTAAACTCTGAAACGATTTTTAAACTGTGAAGATTTTTTTAATCAATTAAATAAGCTCACTCAGAACATTTTATGTAGGGCTCGAAGGGCCAAAATGTTAACCTTTAAATGGACACTGGTCTAATGTGTTTATGCTAGGGACACTTAAAGTGAGTTAATATGAGAGGCAGTGAAACGTTCTTGAGAAAGTCCTAAAATGACTGACTCAGGGTCAGAAAAGTACTTAAAGATGGCCCCTTCTTTACTGGGCTCGTGTCCTAAGTGGCACTGCATCATTTTCTACCCTCCTGACTATAGTGCTACACTTTTTTTTTTTTTTTTGACAGCATGTTACCTGCCCTTCCTGGAGCATTTCTGGGGTGAGATTTCTTACCAAGAGCTGAAAGGACTTGGGAGAAGCGGGTCAACTCCAGGCACTAGGAGCGAGGTGGGATCTCAAATATAGCCCAGAAATCCAGCTTGCACAGAATGCAAGGACACTGGTTTAAAGACTGACCGCAGAGATGCAGATTCCTGTAGAGGAGACCGGGGGCATCTGGCCAGTTTTCTCTCTTTACACTCTTCTCTTGCAGTGCACCTAATTCTGGTTACAGGTTTCCTGAGCAAAATGTGGTAGTGTTAAAGGAAATAAATGATAAAAAGTAGCTCAAAATTTTAGCCCGTATCATTTCAAAGCGGATTAGAAATGATAACTCTTTAGCCAGAGTCAACAGCGCTGTCCCAGAGAGATTAAACAACTATTAGGATGGAGAACAGTTCATATTATTTGTAAAAAAAATACATTTCATTACTGTGGTATTATTGGAGCTATTAGGAGTTCAGTGTCTGTTCATATAGATAAAATTATCATAATTAAGTGGCTTTTGAGATAGCAACAATAAAATGAGAAAATATTATGGAAGAGTTGACTCAGTTGCAAATGAAACAATATGACAAAACAAAGGTTAATAAAAGTTTTAAAGTAAATACTAAGTGGAATGCTGCATATAAACTCGTTCCAGGTTCAATCAGATGTTGATTCAATTGCAATCTCAGTCCATCTGAAGAAGTAAAGAATGAGCACATAGGAACTTAGGAAAGAGTCCTGAGACCAGTGACCAGGGAAGTCTGTTGCAGTGTTACAGCTGTCACAGGTCACAATGGAGCACTGGCACAGCCAATGATAGAAGGGACCCTGGAACCTGGTAGCAACCCCAGGCCAGCCCCAAGAGCAGTGGTTTGAGGTTTAGAGAGCCTCAAGCTTCTAAGATGTGGCTTTAGGCATTCTGGGGTAAGCGTGAAGCTCCATTTGCTGCTGTTCAGCCCAGCAAGAACAAAACTGCTGTGTCTGTTTTATTTATACTGTTCTCATGTTGGAAACTTAGTGTCTTGTATGATACATGGTAGAGGTTGCCTCATTATAACTGTGCTTGGCTGATGAAAGAAATCATATTGGAGAAATATGGCTGACTAACAGGAAATGGGGGGTTTATGTTAGGATTTCAGCTTGGTATAAAAATGTACATTTCAGGGCTGGGAGTGGTGGCACACCCCTTTAATCCCAGCACCCGGGAGGCAGAGGCAGGCGGATCTTTGTGAGTTCAAGGCTAGCCTGGTCTACATAGTAAGTTCCAGGACGGCTGGGGCTACAGGGAGACCCTGTCTCAAAAAGACCAAAAAAAAAAAAAAAAAAAAAAAAAAAAAAAAGTAAATTTCAGATGAATTAAATGTACATTTAAAGAAAACTTTAGGGAAACTTTTTTTTTTTTATGGAATTCTGTGTTTTAAGGTAAATAGAAACCAGTGGAAAAGAATGATAAAATAATTTGCATGAAAATCGAAAACTTGCATGTGCAGCTGAAAAGCCTCAAACAGTTGAGGAAGAAGGCCAAGGTGTACGCCACAGCCAGGCTTGCTGAGGCAGTGAGTTGTGTTTCAGGATCTTGCTTGGACCTGGGAGCTTGGGATGGCCTTGTGGTCTGAGTGAGGCGTCTCATGCTCCAGGGAGTCACGTGTCCCTGCCCGTGAATTCTGACCCAGTCTCTGCAGTGTGATGCCCCGAGTTAACGGTGTTGGTTGTGTTCTATGAAGGCGCTTTCTCCCTCTCTTGGGTTTTAGTGATGTGTTCTCTTGTAGAGTTCAGTGGAGTTCACAGCAGACACCTGTGCTTCTCTGCATCCGCGTTCTGAGGGGCAGAGAGTGGCTTCTACTGCTCTGTGTGGCTCCATCATCCCCTTCTCTTCTACTTCCCAATGTAATTATTGGCACTTTTGCTTCCTTTGTAGAGTAGGAAGTGATGTCATAGACAAGGGAATAGGGCTATTCAAAATCTCCCAGAGCTGCCTAGGTATGCTGTGGGGCCTGTACTCGGGAAGATAAACAGGGAATCCTCCACAGTGAGTAACCCCACTTGCAAGTGCACTCAGATTTCTCTTAAAACATCGTCTCGTATGCTGGAGCATCGTCTTCAGCCCTGCACTGAACCAGCTTGCCTTTAACCTTTGCACGATCAGCTCAGTTTTCCTCCTTCCTACCCATTACTTTTTCTCCTTCCCCCACTGTCCTGTACCCCATTTGCCTCAGACTTGCCTGGTGAGTGCGTCTACCCATATCTGCTGAGAGAGACACTAGATTTCCCAGCAAGAGCCCATGTGTGGGTGACCCCACCTTGGGTAGGGCCCACATCACCCAGCATCTCCTTTCAGTCATGTGGGGTGACTTTTGTTGTTTCTATGTCTGTTTCTCTCTCCAGTTTTCTGTGTGATCACATCCCCTCCCCTTTCAGCCGCATCCTGTGGGTTCCTTATATCCGGTGATATTTTAATACTTTTCCTCATGTACCGTTTGGCCTCGGCTTCTTTTTGGCCCTTCCCATTTTCAGGTCAGCTCTTCAGTGTCTTCCCCTTGAGGACTATTTTTCCTTCTTATCTGCTGACCTGTTCCTGTGCCCACTTATCACCTGTTCCTGTGCCCACTGTGGCTCATAGTTCTTTACCCTTTCAAAGAGCTTATCAGCTGTGGGCAAGGGGCTAATCAGGCCCAGCGCGGTTGTGCACACCTTTAGTTCCAGTACTTGGGAGGCAGAGGAAGGCAGATGTCTATGTGATCCAGGCCAGCCTCATCTACACTGGGGTGACACAGAGACCCTGCCTTAAAAAAAAAAGAAAATCCAACAAAACAAACAAGCAAAGAGCATGACGATGGGAGGACTGCCCGAGAACTGCAGAGGAACACACGGGGCGTGACCCGAGTTGGAGACAGCTCCCCTCTCCAAAGGGCCCAGACAAGTGACAAGTGGTGGGATAGGAGAACTCTGTTGATTCTAGGAGAAATCACAGACTTATTTTCAACATATTAGGGAAGCCTTTTAGGGTGGCCCTGTTCATTCCTAGTACCGTCATCCGCCTATTAAATATTTAGAAATGAGAACTTGAGTATCAATACATTGCATTGGGGCCATGGCTTATGCATGAAGCTCCAGTATAAGATCTTTAAATAGTCATCATCTGCCTTGGAGAGGAAGTCATTGTAATGTTATGTGTACCCAGATGTGGTTCCTCTTGCTCTGAGGGTAAGCACTGTGAGCTCTGCTACATCATGGCTTTCCTTGCATGGAGCTAAGGCCCTGTGTAAATAAAAGAACCTGATTACCAGGCTGATGGTCTGATACATCTGGGCATAATCAGTGGTCTCATGTGTTCCCAGACACTTGAAGAAAGGCACCTCCCCCTCAAAAGTAAGTAGGGCAGAAGAGGAGAGAAACAAAATGGGACTGGGCTTATAAAGCCAAGAGGGGCTGCATGGAAAGAGGAGAGCATGTGTTCTCTGTGACCAGGGAAAGGCAAAGGTGGGAAGCGGCTGAATTGGAGCGCGGGGCGCACAGTGGCTTTGGCTCCCCTGTGATTGTTTCAACGTTCCACCCGTCACTCCATCTTCTTTCTCATTTTAAACGTATAAATGAAGTTGGGTGAACAGTGACTCTCACACGGCAGTTTCTGACCAGCATTTTGCTCTTTGTTCTTCAAGCATTCAGGCTATGTGTTTCCAAGGTCCTTGGGACTTAGGAAATATTTTATCAGCCCAAAGGCATGTCTTTAACCATAACACATTAAAATTTAAGAAACATTAGCAACTTTTCAAATATGTGAAATTACATCGATTGACTTGGTTCCCTCAGGTTTCGGTTTCTCCTGTGACATGTATGTCTTGTGATGTGTTGCTTTTGAAGAATGGCCATAGTATGTTACGGAAGTTGCTGAGTTAACAGTGCAGAAAATAAAATGCATTCTTCCTTTGATCCTTGGGGCCTTGCAGGGGGAGCTTACTTTGACATCCCTTTCCCATTCCGAACTTTAGGAAGAGATTGCACGACTCATGCAGGTTTCCATCCCACACTCTTCCGTCCATCAATCTGGGACTCTTATGTTCATTTTTTTTTATTTCTTTTAGGCACTAGAAAAACACCCCAACTCACCAATGACAGCAAAGCAGATATTGGAAGTCATTCAGAAAGAAGGATTAAAAGAAACAAGGTCAGTATTCATATTTAAATAATTTTCTGTTTTTGTTGGCTAGAACTACCACTAGCTATAAAGCAAGAAATGTATCTAGATTTTGACACTATAGTTGATGGTGAATTAAGTAACTACCTGCAAATTTGCCTGTGATTGCAGAATACTTGGGTGACCTAAGGTTTCCTAATAACCACCTATTAATATAATACATTACCTTAGGTAAATGGAATCAGAATGCCCCTTGGCAGCAGGGATTGGCCTGTGTTTTAGCTCTTCATCACAGCTGTCCTTTCCCTTTCTTATAAGAGATTGTGTTTCTGAAATTAAGCAGTGAAGGAGAAACACTTTTACAGGCTTAACAGATAGATCCTGGGATATAAAGACGAGCCGATGCTGATAAAATTCAAAGTGCCAATAAAATGTGGCTGAAAATTTAGTCCTCTTATATTGAAGACCTCTACTTAGAGTGGCTTTTATCAGATGCTGAGTCTTTCTAGTTTTAAAAATAACAGCTTTACTGAGATAGGATTCACATGTTATAAAATTTGCTTTCAGTGGCTTCTATTTGCAGAGTTGTACAATCTTTCCCACTAACTGTGGAACACATCTATCACCCTCAAATGAAGTCCTGTACTTGTTTTTAGTCATTGTCTACTTACCACCCCTAACCTCTGCCCTCACTGATCTTTACTATCTCTGTGGATTGGCTTTTGTGGACATTTCTTATAAATGGAATTCATAATTATAGCCTTTGGGATTTTCTTCCCTCTCCAGTGTAATGGTTTCAAGGATCGTTCATGCTGTGACATAGATCAGGACTTCATTCTTTTCATTGCCAAATAATATTCTATAACATGGAAATAGCACATTTTATTTGTTAATGATGGTCCTTTGTTTCTATTTATGTATTAATGTTACATCTTTGGTCTTAGGCAGTTGTTTAGGACCATGCAGCTGACACTACTCAAAAAAGGAATAAAGGAAAGATGATTTTATATATATGTATATATATGTATATATTTAAAGCATGTCATTAGCCATGCTATCACAAGTAGACTTTGTGTGTGACCTGGCCATCTGAGAGCTGTGAAGCTAGCACCATCATAGTGATTGTAACCTGATGGAAACTAGACCTACTGAGACACCTTTTGACTGTTTGGATGTTGAGATAGACGCACTAAGGGAAACTCCTATAAAGCCAGCTTTTCCTAAAGTGGTTTCATTCATGATTCCTGTACCTCTAAAGAGTAAGTTACACTGGTCTCCAGCTATATAAAAGGCACCTGTGGAAATCACACTCATAGACATTGCAACTCAGCGGGATAGGATGCCTATGCTCAAATTTTCATCTCTAGTTTGGAGACATTTTTTTGAGTGCCCTGTTGAAAGTGAGTGGGCTAATACATCTATCCCATGCTCACAGTTAGCTCCCATAGTGGCAGTGCTGGCCCAACAGCCCCATCGTAGGACATGCTGGTCCGTACTGGATGTCAGCATGAGGAATTAGGGAACACGGTGGGGAAAACTGGCAATGAACTTTGTTTGCCAACCTTTCAACAACCCTAAAAATATTCATGCCATTTAGAAAACACCAAAAATATTTGTACCACAAACCACCAAAAGAAAAGGACTCAACATTTGAAGATACCAAATGTGAGCTCTGTACTGGAGGAATTTGAGGACACAGATAGGAGTTGCATCTCCTGGAAGCAGATGTTTGAAACTTATTTATTGAGATATTCTTTGGGGGGCTGGAAAGATGGTTCAGTGGCCAAGAACACTGGCTGTTCTTGCAGAAGACCCGGGTTCAAATCCCAGCACCCACATGGCAGCTAGCAACTGTCTGTAACACCAGTTCCAGGGGATCCGACACCCTCTTCTGACCTCTGTGGGCATTGTACAACACGGATGCACTTACCTACATGCAGGCAATACACACATATTAAAAAAAAAGATCACTAGCTGTTTTTTCAGAGGACCTGGGTTTAGTTCCTAGCACCCACATGGCTGCTAACAACCATCTGTAACTCTATTTCCTGGGGATCTGCCATCTTCTGGCCTTTGTGGGCATTTCACACACATGGCACATTTACATACATGCTGTCAAAACACTCAAGCATAAATTAAAAATAATAGATAAGATATTCTTCTTGAGGATGAGGAGATGGCTCAGTGAGTAAAATGCTAGAGGTGTAAACATGAAGACCTCAGTTTGGATCTCCACTACACACATGAAAAGCTAGGTGTGGTGGGTGGTGTGTGCCTAGAATCCTACTGCTGGGGAGAGAGAGACAGGAGGCTGCCGGAGCTGGGTGGCCAACCTGTCAAGCATAATTGGTGACCTCCAGTTTCAGTGAGAGAGTGTGTTTCAAAACATAAGGTAGAGAGCAATAGAAGAAGTAACCTGACATTGATCTGTGGCCTCAACATGCATGCGCACGCATACATGCACACACACAAACATATACACATATGTGCACCATATGTACCCTCTGCACACAGGTATTCTTCTCTACAGAAGTTACTCTGTTGCTGTGATTTGTGCCTTGCATGACAGTTCCCACACTGTGGTTCTCGGCAGCATTTCCATTGTATTTATGATTGTAGCAGCACTATGTCATATTTTCAAGCTATTCCTCTGCCTAGAATGGCATTTGAAAGTCTCTTTGTATGTATAGTTACCAAAATCAGACAAAAATCCAAAACAGATCTTCTTTAAAGAATAGTTAAGAACACTGAAACGGAAAGTGCATTCTGTGCCCCTGAATTCATTTCCCCTCACTGCATCATTAACATGTCCCTTTGTGAGAAAATATTGCCTTGAATTTCCAATACCGATAGTCTAGGATAGAATTATTAAAAGGACTCTGGCAAGCAGCTCCCAGGTTGAATAGGAAAAGGAAAGGCGAAGGGAGAGACAGCCATTCTTTCATGCTCATCTCTAAGATCGGCTCTGCTTTGAACGGCCCAGACACATATTTCAAGTCCTCATTTTTCACTCTGTTTTTTTTTTTTTGAAACTCTGCTCTTTTCTGTCGGTGTGATCTGTTACTTACAACCCACATGTCTCTGTCCAATCTTCCATTGATTTCTAGTCATAGTTTCCTTGTTAGAATTACCTCGAAAACAAACCTGTATAGATTCTAAGTGAGTTTGGAACTGTCAGATATGTTAGGCATGTTGTTTTAGGGAGCAGGTGCTGACATTTATTCTACCTTCTTCATGTACAGTCTTGCTACTTTTCAAGTTTTTAAATATTTTCCAAATATTTAAGGGAGCTGAGCAAATGAAGAACAGCTGTAGGTGTTTCTCTTTGGTAAAGTTTACAAATTCCATCATGAGAATGTTAACCTTGCTGATTAATTTCTAGTTAATTGTTAATGATGTGTTTTCCATGAAATGTAGTACAGGGAAGTGATCCTGGGGTTGTGGATATAGCCATAGCTATCTAAGGATGATGGGTAATGTTAAAGTCCCCACCCCCACCCTAAACCCCACCACTGTCTTCAGTATTTCTGAGAAAGGGACAGCAGGGTCTCCACCAGCATTCCAACTCCATACATGAGCTAAGACCACTGTAAAGCACTACGAAATCCACCCTTTCTTTTATGCCAGGCCCACCTCTTGAATTTACCTTGCCACACTTCAATTCTGTGCTGGTGTTTTCCTTGGGGGTTGTGAACTCTTAAAGGGTAGAGTACTTAACCCTCCTGACACTCAGCAGATACTCAACTAATGGTTCTTTAGTAAATAGTCTTTTTCCTCAAGATTGCAATTTGCTGGTGCCTAGTGATGACTGTGGTTTACATTCAACACTAAAAGCATCTTGTAAACCAACATGTTGTAGTTTACATCCTATTCAATAGTTGTTTCAAAATCAAAGGAACTTAACCATTTAATATATGCATGCTGACAGTCTGCAGAAGATTATCTGTGAACAAGTAAAGTTACGGTTGTTGTTGATTTTCCAATTCTGTAGGAACCACTGGCTTCAATTTGTAATTAAGAAAATCCCTCCATTGGTTATTTTGACAAAGTCAATGTGGATATTTGAATATACTTAGTAGATGCAGTAGTGTTACATCTTGTGATTGAGGCTGAATTTATGACATTTTATGCTGACTTTTTCTCTTTTCAAGTGACACTTTAAATTACATTTTTATATAGACATAATAAAAGAGGACAGTTTTGTACATCACATTCATGTTATTGATGAGATATTAGACTATGATTAAACTCCTTTTCGAAAAGCCAGAAAGAAATACTTCCCATGTAAGTTTAAAATTTTTTCTGAATATAATAAATTGTCAGGCTACGTGGATCTTTTTTGTTACTGAAAAATTGATAGTACAATTATATCATGATTTTTAAAGATTTGTTTTTTTTTTTTTAATGAAGATGCCATTGGTGAATTTTACTTCCCCATCAATATAATAGGATAAAGGAATTTATCAATATCATTTTATATTATAAAGCTTCTGGTCCATCTATGTTTCTGTTTTACTGATTCTAATGATACCAAGGCTCATGTTGCTTTGCGCCTACTGTTTGTCAACAGTTGATCAGTCACGGTTGTTTAGAAGGCTGTTCAGATGATCAGAAGCTTGGTGAATTTTACTTCCCCATCAATATAATAGGATAAAGGAATTTATCAATATCATTTTATATTATAAAGCTTCTGGTCCATCTATGTTTCTGTTTTACTGATTCTAATGATACCAAGGCTCATGTTGCTTTGCGCCTACTGTTTGTCAACAGTTGATCAGTCACGGTTGTTTAGAAGGCTGTTCAGATGATCAGAAGCTTATAATCAAATAGCTGTGTGGCATGGATAGAGGAGTTGGTGTGCACATTCCATCCTGCTGTGTTGTGGGTAGATACTTGATATTCTGTGGGCTCCTTGGCTGAGCATTCCCACATGCTCAGGGTAGGAGGCTGATGCTGCAGAAGACATTCTGTCTGCAGTCAGTAACAACATTTACATAGAACAGAGCAACTCCAGGTTCCATGTGTGGGAG